AGCAGAGCTTGGGGGCCATAGCTGTGGGGATGGATTGCCCTTGGGCAGGGGAGGACACCGTCCTCAGAGCACAGACCCACAGGGCTTCCTCCCTGTCCAACACAGCCCGGCAGAGACGCAGAGCCTAGCCAGGAGGCCCTCTCTGCAGACAGGCAAACACCACTGCCTTTGTTCTCATTCTCTTAATTAAAACCAGTTGCTGACTGCGTGGTAGCACAACTGTTGTTAGCACAATATTTGATATAAATACAGTGCACTCTCAGTAGTCATGCTCACAGCACTACAAGCATGTTTAAAAATTACATATATACACGCAGACATATATGATATGCCGGTGTGTATATATGTGGTACACCATGCAAAGTACGTATAAACACATACATACACACATGCTTATACATACATGCCACATACACATAAGAGATATAGCATATATGTATATATTTGATATTCTTTGGCCTAGAGGTCAGTTGCTTTTTTCTGGCAGGAACTTCTCTAATGTCATAATAGAAGTTAGGGGTGAACATAAGGAGCTATTCAGCACCCCTGCTCACAATCCAGCATCCAGCCATTAAGAAAAGCTGTGGCCTAATGCCCAGAGGACATGAGGGTGGGGCCCAGGGCCTCTCAGGAAACCTTCAGTGAACCTTGCCAAAATGAAAGGCCCATCAGTGGGTGGTAACCTTTGTGGTTATGAGGAAGATGGCCGAGGTGGAAGAGCTTGAAGGGTTTGAAACCAGGTGACATTTAAAGCCCATCTCATGGTGGATGACTTGAAGCCAATGGCTAAGCTATTGAAACTCCTGTGGGGCACCCACAGTGACACCTTGCTCCCTGAGGCTGGTACCAGGGCTCTGGGTCGTGCAGGGGCTTTGGGGCGGGCAGGGGGGGGGTGGGCAGGAGGCAGAGGACCTGCAGAGGAATGAGTGAGTCTGCAGGTCATAGGCCACACTGGACCTGAAGGACACATGCTTGGACCTTGGAGAACACATGCTCTTTATACCCCATCCCCTCCCACCATCCTGGCATCAAGGAAGCCTGGGTTGAGTTGACCTTCTGCCTGATCTTGCCCCACTGGGAGATTTATTCACTTAGGTGTGAATCATTACCTGTGAGGACTGACGTCTGCCTTGATAAGGGTTTTGTTCAACACCTTGTCTCCCGCCACATCACGTGGATTCTCCTCCACATGAAGCATCAAAGATTGCATGATTTCCAAATGCCTATCAAGCCAGGCACCAACTAGGGCTCAAGGGAGGCAAGCTTTCTGAGACAAAGGGGGCACAAAGTCTTAATACTGGGCAGCTTATGTAACTGGTATGGAAATTGGGACTATTAAATGAAATTTGACTCCTCTGCTGGTCCACAAGAGCCCAGAAGAACTGTGCCAAGTTTGATTGAATGTTCCTGGACGCAGCCTCCCCCACCATGGCCAGCAGAACATGCAAGTTTAATCTATTGTTTGTGTTAAGTGATGTGTGCACATGGTAAAGGAAGATATAAATTTCTTGATTCAGAAGGGCAACAATAAAAGACTAAGTTCTTTTTCTCTCCCTGGAGTCACACTCTGCTGGGGAACCACTGGTCTTGGTTTCTGGCTCAGGTGTTTGGGAGATTTCCCTGTATGTCCTTTTGCATTAAGTCCTATGAGATTTCCAGTTTCAGCCTCCACATTTGCAACTTGATCTTTAGCCATCCCCAATTTATTATTCTGACCTTCCCTTTGACTTAAATTTGATTGATGATGTTTTGAATTTCTAAGAATATATTCAAGTGCTCTAAGCTTCCTTTTACATAGAGGTCCACTGTCACCTTACAAATGTTTTCCTATAATATGTATATGCACATGCCACACATGTATATGTAACATGTATTTCTATGCAGTATGCATGTGATATAATATATACCTACAATGTTATTACAACATATGTATGCAGTGATATGTAATTTATGTGTTAATTTTATATATATGGCCTATATATTAATATTAATATATAATCTTCAATAACAAGTATCTATAATAATATTAGAGGTTTATATATGTCACATATATATAATATATACACATAATATTAATATATACTATTGCACACATATAACCATTCAATTATATTTATATTTATATCCAGTTTATATTTATTTATGTCCATTTAAGTTTTTTCCTGTGTCTAGAATCCCTCTCCATTGAAGTCAGTTTGTTTATTTCCCTCTTTCTCTGCTATTGGCAGTTTTGGGACTAGAACAGGTGGTAGGGAAGAGGGTGGACTCACCAACATTCAGACCGCCAGGAGATGCTAGGAGTCCAAGCTGTTGGAACTTTGTTCCAAAGGGGCTGAGCCCCATCAGGGACCAAGGCTTTTCTGAGGGCCACATGCATCCTTCTGCTCACCTGTAGGCAAAGGGTAGAAAGGACCCAATGCGGGCAGTGTCCCCAAGGGCTATTCCCTGGATCTCTCCACACCACTCCTGTCTTTGTACTGAGACCTGAGCTTGTCGCTTTCCCAGAGAGAACAGCTTATTGACATCAGAATTCAGATTGTAGGTTATCACTTGTGGTTGAGACCTCTCTGTGTTCTGTCTCTTAAGATGTCCTCAAAATTCATGACCAATGCTGGTCTCTTTCCTGTGCTCCTACATTGTGTATTATTCTTACTTTTCAAGAAGAGTATCCTTTATGTCATTTCAAGGGAGTTTCTGGGGGAAGGGGCAGAGGTGCAGGGTCATCCCCACCATTGGCGTTGTCAACCAGTCCTGACATGGCCATTATCTACCTGACATCTAGCATGTTTTCTGAATTCACCTTGTCTCCTGAAACCTGGACTTTGGGCATGGCTGAGAGCCAAACAATCTCTTGTACTCCATGCCTGGGAATGTCAGGCCTTCCTCAGGGAAGCAGGGACTACAACAGGCAGCAGTGGTTCTCAATGCTCAGGGTACTGCTGGTAAAATGCAGATCCCAAGGGTCCATTATCAAATATTCAGATCTAATAGGTTTTTAACAAAGGCCGCCTGTAATTAGACTACAGGACTTTGACCACTTGCTGTGAACAAGGCTATTCTGGAGCCAGTGGCCATATTCATCCTCCTCCATCGCTTACTAACTGTGCACTCTTGGAAATTAGAGTACAGTCTCCAACCTGTGGCAAGGAGAGAACAGTGGTCCTGGCTTTATGAGTTTGCGTGAACGATTAAAGTGGTGAAATGCAGCAGATGATAGAGAACTGCAAGTTGGAAGCACCGAGGTTCTGGTGAGTGTATCCTAGCTGCTGCTCCATGCTTGGGAGGTGGGTTTTAACTGGGTACTCTGAATTGGAGCCCTTAAGCCATGAAGCTCAAGTTGTACAGTTATGTGATATCTTCATTTGCCAGTGGAGCATGGAGAACATTCTCTTCGCAAAGGGACTCTGGCTGGATGCCACTTGAGTTCTTATGATGTTGTTTCCCGGTCATTCTGACCCCTCCTTCGATGACAGGCTGTTGGTCATTAATTCTTTCAGCAGGCAAACATCCACCTCTAATTCACTTGGCTAATTTGCAATTACTAATCTATTATTCTGAGTAAAACCAAACACCCAGCATGTTAGAACTCTGCCCAAATTAAAAGAAAAAGTAGGGTAGCTATTCAGTCTTTGATCCCATTGGCTGATTGTTTGGATCAAGTGGATGATAACTTCAGCGTGTCTCCCTCTCACTCACATCTGTGAGTGCATTTTCCCCCACATGCCTTAGGGAATAGTGTGCTGTAAAGAATATCTCACTTCATTTCAGCCCCTTCATTTTCCATGAGGAAGAAGCCCTCATCTAAATGCTATTGTATATAGCCGTTTTGTCATGAGACAGAGTTGGATAATAATTCCAGAAGTTTTGAAGTAACCCCTGAATGCTAAATACAAAACTATGCCCAACAGATAGCAGAAATCAGAGACCAGAGTTCTATGCTGTGGAAATGAATGATAGGATCTCAATGTACTTTGTAAAGAGGAGAAGACATCCACAGGGGATAAATCAGGTGATTAAGATGAAATAGAGAAATAGAGAAAGGTTTTCCTTTCTGATCTTACATGAATGTCAGTGTTTGGAAAAGAAAACTGATGTGGAATATTAGAACTATTGGGTCACAGTTCATCTTGATAAATTTCAAAGGCAAGGAATGGCCTTGCTTTAAATTGTTGGTGCATAGCTCTTCAAAGGAGAAAGGAGGTTGTTTCCAAACACACCCTTATTTCTTTGATCCTGCCATGAAGCTGAAAGATAAAAATATGTCATGATAAAATAGATGTCAGATTAAATAATGTCTACTCCGGAAAACATGATCCCATCCAAGAAAGAAAAGAGAGAGGAAAGAAGGGGCAAGGAAGCTAGCACTAGGTACAGAGAAGCAGCAGTTCCTCAGGGAACAAAAGGGCATCCTCAGACCATGAGCCCAGAGGTGCCAGCAAAGTACAGGCACCCATGCCGCACATGATAACCAGCTGGGGCTGACTTCAAGCTATTCGGCTCAAAGGTGGGCAACTTCTCTCAACCACCAAGTGCTCCTGTCCCATTAGCCCTGAGGCTGGGAGAGAGAGCCAGGGAGGCAGCCTCCATTGATGAGGTTAGAGAACTTGAATTCCGACACTGAAAGGCTTTTCAAATATACCTATATTTTCAGTATTTCTTTCTATGATTTTTACATACACACTTTTGACTGTGGATTTAGAGTGGAGATTCCTCTCTCTGCTCTGTAGTTCTCTACTCTTCACCATCACACAAAGCAGTCAGTACCCCCAGAACTATTGATTCCCACCAAATACATTGTTTACGAGAAATATTGGCATAACTTTTTATAATATTAGTAACATTCTTTCAAATTCACCAACAATAAAAAGAATTATATAATCACAATCAAATGAGATTTTTCTCAGGTATACAAGGTTGCTTCATAGTTTGAAAATCAATTAATGGAACCCATGACATCAACAGATGAAAGAGGAAAAATCACATGATGATTCCAATAGATACAGAAAAGGCACTGCATATTATCTACACCCACTGGACTAAGAAGAGAGGTGGATATCCTCAACTTGATGAAGAACATGTACAAAAACCCTACAGTTAATCTCACACTAAGTGGTACGAAACAAGATGCTTTCCACTAAGATCAGGAACAAGGTAAGGATAAGCCCCCTTTGCTTTTCAACAGCATACTAGAAGACCCAGCAAATCCAACAATACAACAATAATACAAGAAAATAAATGATACACAGACTGGGAAGGAAGAAATTAAACTGTCTTTGTTTGCAAATGGCATGTTTGTCTATGTAGAAAATCTGATAGAATTGACAGAAACACCTCTGAAACTAAGATTACAGCAAGGTTGCAGAATATAAGTTTAATATACAAAAATGGATGACTTTCTTATTTACTATAATGAACATGTGGAATTTGAAATAATCATAGTCCTTTTGTGATCATTTTGATTTGTTTGAATTTAATTGTGATTTTGATTTGAATTCCTAGTGCAGAATTAAAATGCTATTTTACTTAATTTTCTAAGTGGTTTCTTCAGCTATTCGCTTCTGTTCTGTCTTCCAATTCGAGCTCAGGAGCACAAGAGCACAGCAAATAAGCAGGTGTCTGTCTCTTCTTTCCTTCATCCCAGCCTCTTGGAGAGTAGCATGCCAGTCAGCAACAGAAACCACACACTTGCTCATCAGTCACAGCTGTCCTGAGAAAAGATATAGGTGGGGAAATAATTTTCATACAGCTTTCATTATATGCTCTTAGGATCAAAAAATGGAAAACTCAAAGATTAACTGCAACAAACACTTATATCTTGGAACCCTATGTCTTGTTCTAGAAAAGCCAGGGATTAAGAAGGATATTTTTGGGGCCTCCCCTTTGGCGCAGCGGTTGAGCGCTGGGCTGCAAAGCTACCGGCAGCCTCTGCAGCACCGGTTCAATCCCGGCCGTCAGGCGAGTATCCCACATGGTGCACAGACCTCTCCTGCCATGCCCACTGCTCCCCTCAGCAGTGTACTTCATCCGTCTGCCTGTTCTGCTCCCCGCTCTGGCTCTGGTGAATTCTCTCACCCTCCCGCGCTTCTGACTGTATCCAGCGCTTGTATAAATAAATAAATTAATTTTTAAAAAAAAGGATATATTTGGGCCTCCCTGGTGGTGCAGTGGGTTGAGCGACACACTGTGAAGCTGTCCACAGCCTCTGCAGCACTGGTTCGATTCCCGGCCCACCAGGGAGAAACCCATATGGCGCAGCAGACCTCTCCTGTCTCACCCACTGCTCCCCTCAGTGGGTCTTTGGTCCATCTGCATGTTTTGCTCCCTGCTCTGTCTCGGACGAATTCTCTCACCCTCCCATGCCTCTGACTGTACCCCAGATCTTATATAAATAAATAAATCTTTTTTTAAAAAAAGAAAGATATTTTCCCTCTAAATATGTGGGAGTAAAAAATAAATTCCCTTTGGCAGAAAAAAGACCTTGAACGTCCTAATGTATAAAAGATGACATTTTATAAAAATGCCACATTTTATCATGTTATAACTTAAAGTAGAAAATTAGAAGTCAATGAGCAATAAAGATGTTACTTTTTTTGTACTGAGATCAGCTACAACTTCCAATAGTATTGGGGCCTAGTTCTCCAATAATACTACATTTTTTGGAAAGAACCCAAGAGAGATGTAAATTTACTCCTTTAACTTTCATTTAAAGGAACCCAAAAATAAAAGAACCTGAATTCAGACTGTTTTCCTACTTTGAGTATGAACCATGTTGACTTTGGGTATGAAGCTCAGAAGACCCCAAGTTGTTGATGATATTTTAAATATCATCAAGGGCCTTCTGAGTTCAAAATGCATGTTTCCTTTGACTGAGAATTGAAGCAATAAAGAATCACTTATTATCTCTGAAATTAATCACATCCAAACCTTAACTGCCCCTATGCACATTAGCCATGTTTCTGGTGTCTTCTCCCCAAGATTTCAAAGTTTCAAGCATCTCATCTCCTATCTTCTGACTCCAGCCCTCATTTCCAAACTCATTTCCTGCTATCCCCAAGGTACTCCTGCTCCTTCATATTCTCATACCCCAATCGTAACGTTATTTAATCCCAGCACTGAAGATTCATCACCATTTCCTAAACATACCAAAAGAGTTCTTGTCTCCCTGTGTTTACAGACTTTGTTTCTCTATCTGACTTTTTCTTCTCCCATGTAGCCTATATGAGAATACAATAATTCTTCAAGGTCAATCACAAATGACATTCTTTTATCAAAGAATTCCAATTCCAAATGAATACCTTCTCTTTTTTTTTTCCCCCAAGGCATAGTCATCTTATTCTAGCCTTTATTACTTCCATTCATTCTATTTAATTGAGCATTTTTATTGGGCCTTGGCAATTTATTGGATTCTAGCACATGTGTTTGGGCAGCTTTACACTTAAGGGCCCCTGTCCTCTACTAATAGTTTTTTTTTTTTTTTCCTTATGTTGCAGCAATTTGTGTTCATTCTTCTCCATAAATTAACACTCACTGAGGTTAGAGGTTCTTCTCCTAGCTTTGTGCCTGGATATTGACCAATGCTGAAAGAAGCCAGTGCCACTACAAATTAGTTCACATCCAGCAAGCTACTCTTGGCACCTGGGGATCATGGAAAGTGATTTCAGAAAACAATCCAGCAATAAAAGAAGATCCAAACGTACAAGTTGATCATAATGTTGATAATGTCCATCATCTTTCAATGGAAAGGAAAACAAGCAAGAAAAATCAGAAAATATCCTGGAAGACAATAACAGGGGAGGGAACTACCCCAATCCATACCATATATTAAATGGTACTAACTTTCCTTAATTGAAATAGCATGGGATTGCTACACAAAAGGCCAGTGAAGCAAAATACAGAGTTCTGAAGCAGAATCAAGTACATCTAGAGATAGAGTGACTACTCCTTAAATCGGTAAACGATAAGACTTCTCAAATAAATGCTATTGGGACAGATCTATAGTTTACTCTCTACACCAGAATATTTTACAAATATAACAGAAATTTAAGTGGAGAGTTTTGATAGTAAGTTCTCGAAGAAATAGTAGTAAAACTCTTTATCACCTGGACTAAGAAAACCTCCCTAAGGGGCCTCCCTGGTGGCGCAACAGTTGAGCACTGGGCTGCGGGGCTGCCCGCAGCCTCTGCAGCACCGGTTCAATCCCCGGCCGCAGGCGAGGGTCCCACATGGCATGCAGACCTCTCCTGCCGTACTCTCTGCTCCCCTCAGTAGTGTCCTCTGTCTGACTGTTCTGCTCCCTGCTCTGGCTCTGGTGAAATAACTCAGCCTCCCGCACTTCTGACTGTACCTAGTGCTTGTATAAATAAATAAATAAATATTTTTAAAAAATAAAAAATAAATTAAAAAAAAGAAAACTTCCCTAAGAATGACTCAAATTACAACTTTCTTAGTTATGACTCAAAGTTCAAAATTTCGAAGCAATGAAAGAAAAGATCACCAAATAGAAAAGTGGGCAAGATATAAAGAGTGAATTGATAAAGAGCCCTTTACCACGAAAAAGATGACCACTCACTCAAAATGTGAGAAATACAAAATGAAACTGAAATGAGTTACCATGTCTTACCTACTCAGTGGGCAGAACATTGACAACAAGCTGCTGAGAAGCTCTAAGGAAGCAACACTAAAATATTAGAGGTGGCAATACAGTGGGGGAAAATTTGACAACATCAAGCAAAACCACATATATGTTTATTCTTTGACCCTACAGTCACACTTCTAGGAATCTAGCTCAAAAATACACTTGCAAACATGCAAAAAGATGTAGGCAAAAGTGTATTTATTGACACAAAGAACCAGGAACTGCCCACATATCAAATGTGGAAGATGTTCAAATGAACATGCGTATGAAGAAGTAGTAGGGAGAAAAGAAGAATCTTAGTAGTAGTTACATGAGGATTGCCATATTATTCTCTTGACTTTTGTATTTGCTTAAACTATTTTTATAATAATATGTTAAATACCCAGACCTGGAGAAAGGTCAATAAATGATGCTTGTATTATTCACCCCAAGGGCCTCTTTTGTTGAATCAAAGATCTGAGGGTGACCTATACTGATTCAGAGCTTACAACAGCCACCCACTTGGGGAGTATTGAGTGTTCTAAAGTTTGAAAGCCACTCTTGTATAAGACTTAGGCCTGGCTACTTTACAAGAAATATTTTGTTGCCATCGCAATTCTTTTCCACTCTTCAAATTTATGAGCCTGGCTGCCCTTCAGGCTTCCGCTGGCTGCATCGATTCCAGTTGGCACCATACCTGGTTGTCTGGGCGAGACTGCAATGAAATGTTGTTGCTATAGCTTGAGACATATCTTATCTTTTCAGTACTTCACAGTCCCAAAGCCTCTCTTTCTGGGGCTTTTGGCAACACTGCTCATGAGCAAGAGCATTACAAGGTTCAGTAGGACTGTTAGGTCCCTTGCCTCAGCTCAAGCATATACCCTACCCTCATCAGCTCTCCCAAAACACACATACACACACACACACACACCCCTAAACGAAATTATGTTGATAAGTAGAAAATACTAGGGAAATTGTTAAGTGTTAATCAGGTGGGTAGAATGTTATATAAAAATGCCAGTTGCTTAGTTTTACCATTCCAAGATTTCTAATTCCTACGAAGGCTGACTTGACTCACAGGTTGGCCCACCCAACTCACAACCAGTATTATTAAACAGCTCCATTCCAGCCTGAACACCTTCCTTTTATGCTTCCTGATCTTTTATTTAGTTCCCCAACTCAGGAGAAATAAATTGAAGGTTAAAAAAATTAGCATTCAATAGAAATTTCCCAACTCATTTTTTAAAAATATCTTGGCAACTTATGACTCTGTACACATTTCCCTTCATTGAGAAATATGAAAGAGAGTTTGGTGACACAGTAAAGACTGCCTTCTTTTCATCCAAGATCACAATTCTGCACTCAGTGCCCAGGACTGTGGGACAGCAGGGGAGCTTGGAAATCATCTGGTCAACCTCCTAGTTGATGCAAACCTCTTGTAGGTGGCTGTCTGAGAAGAGACTAAGTCTCAGATCTGCTGCCATGAGCATTCCACTTCTGCAGCTACTTCAGACTCCATCCTAACATATGGGAGTTCCATCATGTGCATGGAGTTCCATCATGTTTTGCCAGGCCCGTGGCTACCCTCTGAATCCATTATTCCTTTCTTCTCACTTAAATAGTTCTTTTCCTTCTTAAGCCTCTCTGACAAACATTCCACCCTCCATACATTCCTTTAATCTACTTTCCGTAGTGTCACCAGCGAAGGTCTCTGAAGTACAGTTACAAAGTTAAAATCCATTGGCATGCGAAATTGTTTGGGAACCATAAAATATCAATTTCCTTCATTGAATGAGCAAAAATAGACAGATGGCTGGATGTGAGGAAAGCAGCTCACTCCATGCAGTGGTACAGCATTTTGGAAGGGCCTTCTGAGTTCAAAATGCATGTTTCCTTTGACTGAGAACCCATTTCTAGGAATCTAACTTACATAAATTCTGCAGCTTCTGCACATTGTTTGCAATAGGAAGACATTCAATATGACCTCAATGCTTATGAATACGTAAATAACCAAATAAGATTGGGGAACACGTAGAACAAGACAGATCTACAGCAAAGGGTAAGCTGAATCTATAGGCTCTTCAAGAAACATTATCCCTTTTCACACTCCCTTTTCACACAGTGCTGACACCCAGTCAGCACTGACAGCCAGTTATATTAGGAAAAACTATATTCCTATGGACATGATCCACAGGTAATTTTGTTCACAACCAGACACTGAACCATTAAGGCTCTTCTCCTATGTAATAAATATGTTTCAATCAGTATAAGATCAAAAATAAATTCTGATTTTTCTTCCTTGCTGCAAAAGTCTCATTTCATTGCAGGCATACTAGCCGCAAGCTTACCCTTAAGCCAATGCTCAGAAACAGGGTGGTATTTCTGGAGAGAATAGGTACAGCAGGCTCCCAGCTTCCAGTCTGTAGTTTTCAATACTGTTGGAAATTTTTACAAAACCCTTATGATCATATCCTTCTTCTGAACGGAATACAAATATATGTATATGTATACACACACACACACTCACACACACATATTTCTAAGAGTCCTGTGTCAGGGACCACGTATATCATAACCCACCCCACCTCCCACATTGGGGCTGTCACACCTCATTTCTCAACAACCTCAGAAACAGTCTTCCAAATAGTGACCGGGCTCCATCAGAGGTCACCATCCTGTCCCTCATACCTGCAGATTTCTTCTCTGACTCACGCCCCCTCCTCAATCCAAAAAAATAGAGAACAACCATGATTCTGTCTTAGAAAACAAAAAGTATACACTGAGGCTGAACAAATGAATATATATTTTTAAAACAAAATGCAGTAGACTGAGATTGAGAACTATCATGCACTGGAATTACCAAACAGTCACTAGATGGGAAATCTAAATGGGAAATCACTAGATGGGAAATCTAAACAGTGACAAGAGGGGTGCCGCGGACCAAAATGCCACCTAGGGGCCCTTGATGGGCTTTGATATGATTAGGATTATTATGTAATGCAATTTTAGGTTTGGTAACAACTGGAAAAAAGTTAGCGGGTGGGCGGGAGGGTTTATCATTTTTGAAAGTTAATTTATTTAGCATTTCAATATATTCATGATCATTAAACTCATCCTCTGACTGGGAAAGGGATTCCTTTGATACGGGAGCAGAGGCTTGAGTAGATCATTAATGTTTTTAGGATTATCCTGAACTTCATCCTGTTGGCCTTCCCACAATTCTGCCTCAGTGGCATCAACCAACAAATCTCTAATTTGTACCCACAAAGACAGAGTCTGTCTTGGAACCTGAGATGGTCCATGAAGGGCATAAAACTCTTACTTCTTTTCCTACTTTTTTCCAAGTTTCCAGTGACAAAACTACCTTCTTCTGGAAACCACGGGCATACCCGTAATATAAATTTATAAAGTTGCAGTAGAGCTTTCTTATTTACTTTAATACCTCGTGTTTCAATCATATTTTTTAATATAGATAGAAAAAGATTTTTGTTTTGGGTCTGTAATTGACCCATGGTCTCGTGGTGCTTTTGTTCACTCAAGCAAAGATTTCTTTCAACTGTGCTGTCCGGCCCGTGTCCCTCGCGGGAACTTGCGGAGGCGTCTTAGCTAAGGTCTGTCCGTATAAGTCCCGGACCAGGCTACTCCGAAGAGCAGATGACCGTTATGTCATATGACATTCCTCCACAGGAATCGCGGGTGCAGCCCACTCAGACTCCGTAGCCACGAGGCCGTGGAGCCGTATTCATACACTCTCACACACACACAGCACCACGAGCATTCACTCTTAGAAAAACTTCTCACTATCTTGAACTGATCATCCTTTAACAGCGAGCTACGGACGCTCCAGTGAGGATCCTATCCCTGACTGTTTAAAAGAGGGTATTTAAAGGGAATCACATTCACACTCACACACAAGAAGGGAGATAGCTTACCCAACACGATCTCTTCTTCGTTACTCACCTCTTCTTTGGGTGGAAGACACAATGAAATGAAATGAAATGTCGGGGCCCCACGTTGGGCACCACCTGCCCCGGACCAGCACAGCAGTAGACGATGAGGCCACCTCAGGGTTGAGAGAAGCGTGCAGGGTGGTCAGGGCGTCGGTGAAAGAAATGACAAACAGACACACTTCAAGAGTGAAAATCTGAGTGTCATTTTCTTTGAGTTTGTGACCAGTATATATATGTTTTCCAAAAGCACAGGAATGAATATCAAAGAAATTAGCTTGCCCATGGGCTCAGTCTATCACCATCAGGGAGGTGATCTACATAACAAACAATGACCATTATAGAAGAAAGAAGGAAGTTTAGAAAGACAGATAAGGGATTAAAGTTCGTAGTTCTAGAAAGACAGGATAAGATTTTTAGCATTCTTGTAGTGGTTCTTGGTGGTCATTATCTCTTGATAAGCTTCTGCCTTTTCAGGGAACTTCCGCTGCACTTCCTCTGCTTCAGGCTGTTCTCCCCGCCCCCCCCCCCCCCCCCCCCCCCCCCCCCCCGCGCGCGCTGGTTGCCCAGCCGGATCTAGGGACCATGGCAAAAGCCATTCCTAAAGATCACTGCGGGGGGAGGTGCAGCAGGTAGGGTTTTGCTGTTCTCCCCCTGCGCGCTGGTTGCCCAGCCGGACCTAGGGAAGGTTAGCCCTAAAGGTCACTGTGTTATAGGACAGGGAGAGGGGCAGCCCAAACCCCGCAAACCTGCCTATTCTAAATGGGTTCTGCCATCCGCCGCATCAACACAAAACATATGACACTTTAATGGGAAGGATCTTTAATAAAAACTAGGAAACAATACAGGTGAGGCAAAGAGTCTAGTTTCTAAATGAAGCACCCAAAGTTACCCATCCCCTCGTGGGTAAAAGTCCATCCATATGGGATTGGCCCAGAACAAGGCCCCAAAGCCTGCCACAAGTCTAAAGCATCTTCCAGTGGGGACCCACAGAAAAGGGTCACAAACAACCAGACAAGCCCGGAAGGAAAAGAGCAAAATCAACATCAAGATAAAAGCTGCCATTGTCACCTCCCCACAGGTCTCACCCACATCTGTGTCACCCAGTCCACGACCAAAAGACAAGCGCAGTTTCTTTACGTGTTTCTAGGCTCCATGCGCCTCCTCCAGGTCTCCTGGCTCCATCCTGCTTCCTTCCTCCGTCTCTTCCTGCAGCTTCTTCTCTTGCTGCTCAGCTCCACCCTCCCTTGGGTGGGGCAGGGAACCTCCCCCTTTCCTGGGGACCACCCTGTTGCAACTGCAGGGGGAGGTGCAGCAGAGGGGAGCTCAGGTTTCTAAGAATAGAAAAATAAACATTAGGAAACATCAAGTGCAAACTAGAAATTTGGTATTTCAGAGAGAATCTGGAAAATGCAGTGGAAAAATGTACAAAAATCAAACGTAAAGCATCGGAAGAAAAGTCCACTAAGCATGTGAGCACTCAGTACATGCAAAACAGCAGCCACTTGGGAAAATAGCTACAAGTAGTAAAAATGCAAATTAAGGCAATAAAGTTAATTTATACCTAATAATTTAATAAATATGTAATGTTGAAAATCCCAAATTTGTGAGTGCTGTGGAAGATGGTGCCCTTGTGGGTACAAACTGGTCTCCAGTGGCTCCCCTCCACCCCCATGCCCACCCCCAGCACAGAAGAGGGATGTTGGGCAAAACTTTGAGTGGGAAGAGAACAGAGAGAGGAGTCCAGGAACAGGTTCCAGGAGGAACTTGGCTGGAGGCTTTGAATGTCCCATCTCACTGGTCATCTAGCTTTTTCTTCAACATGAATTCCAGTGTCCCAAGTCTTTGCCTTTCCTGTTGGAGGGAGAAGAACAAACAAGTGTATGTTCTAACAAACACCTAGATAATGAGATGAGATGTCGACAGACACCAAGGTATCTGTCATCTCATTTTCTCTTTGGACATTCTGTTTAAGCAGCATCTGGAAAGTCCTGTCCTACCAGTTCAGTAAGAGTGGCCAGGAGGGCATCTGTTTTGAATTCCCAAAACAGACCTTTGAAACATGAGGGCAGAGAAAACTAGGTGAGAGAGACCTTAGGGAAGGCGGTGCGAGGAGTCCTTTGGGAAACTTGACAGAGGTGCCAGACAGAGGAGAGAAGGCCCCCAGAGGAACAGGTCGAGGGAGAAAAGACCCCTCTGGAGTGTCCCTCTCACTGATTTCTTCCTGCCCTGGACTTTTCCCTCTTATTCAGTCTTACAATGTCTGTTTGTCATATCTGTTTGTCGTGCTGCCTTTCAGTCCTACTTCCAGAGTCCTCTGCTGTCCTTTTCTCAAATTCATATACATTATTATTATTATTATTATTATTATTACAATTATATGGTTTGCATACGTGTGTGTGCTTTCAAGCTTCACATTCTCTTTTCCAATTGTCTCACATATTCATTCCTCAAATTATCACTGAACACATATTATGTACCGAACACTGTTTTAAGCATTGCTGCTATAGGACTGCACAAAACAGCATAATTTCTATCCTTATGTTTTCAGACATTAAATATGTTGGGGGTATGCAGGAAACACATATAATAAACAAAATCAACAATAGACTATAATATTAGATGGTGATAAAGACTTTGAAGAGAAATAAAGAGGGAAAGTGAGTGGAAGACAGAGAGGAAGATGGAATTTCACACAGACACCGGCAGGTGGTGGCCTGGGAGGAGGGACATTCAAGCATGTAGACATAGGGGAGGTCAGCACACTGGGGAGCAGGGAGCCTGTGGGGTTGGGGAGAGCAGCAGGCTGGGGGTGGAGCAGGCAAGCTGGGAGGGGTCATATGGGGAGGCCGCCAAGGGGTGGAGTGGAGCACACAGGCCTGGGGGTCAGCACAGCCAGGACTGGGAGGCTTGGAGCAGGTGCTGGGTGGTTAAGGAGCAGCCGGAAGTCAGCGTGGCTTATGTACAGGTGTGATTAAGGGAGGGAAGTGAGATACTGGGACTTGGAAACAACTGAAGGCGAAGCACACTGAGTTTGTAGCCCAAGAAAAGGACATTGGAAGGTCAGCAGAGGGTTTTGAACAGAGGAGTAACTTCATCGTATATGGTTATTTCAAAAGGTGACTCTGGCTGCTGTGGGGGCAAAGACATGGGGTGGCGGGGTGGGGGTGGGGGTTGGGCAGAGGAAGGGGGGACTTCTGTGGAATGTGGTTTCAGGCGGAATGAAGCTGGTGATGGGGCTTTACTTCTTTAAGGGAAGGGGGTACCTTCAGTTGGGGTGGTAGCCATAGAGACAGAAACACGTGAGAAGAAGTGGTACCTTTTAAGGTTAGCACCTGTAGGATCCGTGTAGGTAGGTTTGTGGGACAAAAAAGAAAGTGGGCTGTCTGCCCACTGCTTTATTTCATGGTCTTGAAAAACCTCTTTAATCCCTCTTTTATTTTAACTTAAAAAATATAAAGATCTGGGCCTCCCCTGGTGGCCCGGGCGGTTGGGCGTCGCACTATGAAGCTGTCCGCAGCCTCTGCAGCGCCGTTTCGATCCCGGCCAGATGGCTGGCGAGGGTCCCACATAGTGCAGCAGACCTCTCCTGTCTCGCCTGCTGCTCCCCTCAGCAGTGTATTTCAGTCAGTCTGCCTGTTCTGTTCCCCACTCTGTCTCTGGTGAATCCTCTCACCCTCCGCATCTCTGGCCTGTACCCCAGTTCTTGTATGTATAAATAAATAAATCTTTAAAAAAAATAAAGATCTGAATTAAATGTTGTATATTTATTAGTGTTTCTGGGGGGGGGGAAGCTTCATGCCTTAACTGTGAATGCCTCTTTTGATATTATAATTTATTTAGAAGAAAAAATAATTTATTGATGTTTGTGATAGTATTGCCTTCTCTGATTTACATACGTTGTTCAATCGCTTTTATCAGTGTGCCAGGGACCATTTTTCTTCTTATTTTTCCTTCTAAATTAAAGCACCTGTCTTTTGCACATAGAAATATAAGAGACATCTTTGTGCTGCAGATGAAGGAAGTACATGCAGTGGCTATGAATACTCCATCATCCAGGCTGAATTTTCTAAATATCATTTTCCACACTCAACTCTTTGGAGAAATGGTTTATTTCAGAGCTAAGGGAGGGCCTGTACAAGATGAGCCTGGAACATCATGTTATCTAAGAGATGAGGGAAGCTGTCAAACATAATTGGAATCATGTAAAAAAGACTCAGAAACCAACCTGAAGAGACCCTCATAACCAATAATAAGATCAAATAATTGGGCCAGTAATTGGAGCACCAAAATGTTACCTGCTGTCATTAAAATTCTTCAAATATATTAAAATCCATGAATTCACTAAACAAAAATGCCCAATTGGTCACCACTTGAGGATGCTATGGAACCAATTCATTATTCTAAATACCAATAAATACAAGGACACGATCTGCATTTTAAATAGAAATTGAAGGGCCTCCCCGGTGGTGCAACAGTTGAGTGCAGCGCTATGAAGCTGTCCACAGCCTCTGCAGCGTGCATTCCATTCCCAACTGCCCAGGGAGCAACCCACATGATATGGCAGACCTCTCCTGTCTCACCCGCTGCTCCCCTCAGCAGTGTTTTCAGTCCATCTGCCTGTTCTGCTCCCCGCTCTGTCTCTGGTGAATATTCTCACCCTCCTGCGCCTCTGGCCTGTACCCCAGTTCTTGTATAAATAAATAAATCTTTAAAATAAATAAATAGAAATTGACTTGAATTCAACATAGTAAGAGAGGTCCTTGGAAAATCTGATTTAGCTAAGTGCACTGACAATGACAGTTAAACAGGATTTGATTTGTGAGAATGTTAGGGGGAAAGGATGTCCTGAGCAAACTCCATGCAGGCTTTGTGGATGCCAACCCAAGAGCAGCAAGACACTGGGAACTACAAATCCCATGATTCTCAAAGGGAAGTTGCGAGGACCTAAGAGTGTACTTAAGCAGCCATTTTCTGGGTGCTTGTGTTTATAACCAGCCATGTCAGTGGGGTCTCGTGCTCTTGGCTCATGCTGTTGGCTAGGCAGCGTTTGGTCTTGGCAGGTCATCTGGGATTCCAGGTTGGCAGAACCAGTAGGACACATTTAAGAATTTATCTCCCTCTTTTCTCCCTGGGTTGTACATTTCTTCATTTCCCCTTCCTTTGTAAATAAACCTTTTGTTAACCTTTTGTGTGTGCCTGCAGTTTAAGTCCCCTTTAAGTGTGGGGTGATGACCCACAGTCAGGCAACCTATTTTATCTTGGGGTTGCCCTATAACAAGAAGATTTGTTATAGGCCAAGTCTATTACAAGTCTGTTATAGGGCTAATCTACAGCTTATTAAAAGAGAAGAATCCATTGTATTGCGAACAGCAACTGCATTAAAGTAGGACATGTGTTGCAGCAAAGATTGTTTCTGACAAGTTTTCTCTCTGCTCCCTTGAAAGAAATGTGGCCAGGTGCATGGTCTCTCTAGGCTGGAGAGGCATGAGCTAAGCACGCTAACAAAGCTGGATCAAGATGCAGAACCGAATTGGAAAGGTGGGGTGCAGAGGATACCAAGACTAAGGCTGGGAAGCAGATCTATGCAGGAGTGTTCTCACTCCTTTAGTGTATATTTTGGTTTACAACTTAATGGAACAAGAACAAGTCAGCCTTTCCATATGGTAGTCAAAAATTTAATTACCTAATATCACTTTGTTGCCAAAAGAGACCTGAACTTCGGTTATTGGCTTCAGTCAGTCAATACCATCAGTTATTTCCTGGGAAGATAAACAACCAGGTTTACTAGAGAATTCAAGTCGACCCCTAAAGCTTTCAGCAGTAGGAAGTATTGGATCCAGCACAGTTGAGGAACTTCAGGGGTAACAAGGAGACTGTCTTGCTTCTATTGGAAAGATGACCCACTTAACTCTACTCTAGGAAAATAGCATGTATGGACTGTATGTCTTCCACAGGGGGTTCTAATTTCTATTTTTAAAGTATAATGTATATTTAGGAAAGTGAAGGAGTCACAAATACACAGCTAAAGGATTATCATAAAGTAATACACTCCTGTCAACAAATAGAACATTGCCATCATCTTAGAAGAATCCTTGTGCCCCTTCCCAGTGACTGACACCCCTCCTTCCCACAGACTAACACCAACATAGTAGATATGCAAGTGCCCATGTAATATACCTTCTATCTAGGTATAGAAAAATTAGAAAACTGTACAAAGGTCTTGAGTGACCCTTTCCAGTCTATCTCTGTAGTGGCTGGACAGGGACAGTGCTGGTTTCTTTATGATCCGAGCAGACTGGGTAGAGAGTCCTGGAGCCCTCGGTGGCTTTCTCAGGATTTTATTGAGCTTTTACATGTACTGCAGCAACCAGGTACATGCCAGGCAGGGGTGCTGGGGGCCCAGGAGACTGGTAGTCCTCCAAGCCCCCCCTGTCCTTGCGCAAGTCTTCATTCTGGACTTCTCTGGTGTTCTTTCTCCTGCCTCTGCTTCTCTTGGGGAATATCTCAATACTGCTGCCATGGCCCATAGAAGTAAACAATACAACTTATAACAATGTAACAAAATGCAGGTGCCCCCATCAGACAGGGCAATTCTAATGGTGGGTGGGCAGAAAAAGCCTGAAAATCCTTTACCGTCCAATCCTCTCCACCCCACTTTAGAGGCAACCAGTGTTCAGATTATTTTTTCAAGTTCTTCTAGTTTTACCTATTTTTGAACTGTAAATAGAATCAAGCACTATTAGTCTTTTCTGCCTGGTTCTCTCACTCAGCATGTTTTGAGACCCCTCTGCATGCTCAAGTGTATCTATTTTATTGTGTATAGTATTCCATTGCAGATATCTTTTTTACTGCTGTCTAGTGCTGTCTAGTCATGCATACCACATCAGTCTATACATTCGTTTGCTGATAGGCAATGTGGTAGTTTCTGGTTTTAACTATTTTGAGTAAAGCTGCAATAAACAAATCATTTTGTGCATATATATTTTCCTCTCTTTAGAGTAAATGTCCAGGAGAATTGCTGATAATAGATGTTTAATTAAATGAAAAACTACCAACTGTTTTCTCGTATGTGGTTGTACCAAGTTTGCATTTCCAGCAGCACATAGAAGATCTAGTTGTTCCACATCCTTTGCCAACATTTAGTGTTGTCCTTCCCTTTCAGGCTAGCCATTCTAGTGTTTGTAGTAGTATCACCTGGGTCTGGAGTTTCTTTTATGGGAAAATAACTATTATATGAACCTAATAGTCCCATAGAGCTATTCAGATTTCCTATTCATATTATACTGATTTTAGTTATGTGTGTGTGCATTTCTAAGGAAATTATCCATTTTGTATACTTTGCTGAAATATTGGCATAAAGCTATTCACAGTGTTTCCTCATTATTCTTTTAATACCTGGAGGTTGTAACAATAATGCAGATGCATTTTACTTTCACTTTTTGTGCTATTATTTTCTATTTTAAATTTACATAAGTGATAAACCTCACAGTAAATTGGTATAATTTTTAGTTATTCATTTGTCTTATAAAGATAGAAAGTATAATATGGAGTCTTTAATATTTTATATTTACTATATCCTCTAGTCTTCATTACTTTCTGCTAATCTGGGTTTCTACATTGTTTTATTTCCCTTCAGGCTTAAAATCTCCTGGTAGCTTCTCTTTCAATTCAGACCATTCATTAATGAATTCTCTCAGCTTTGATTTACTTTAAACTGTCTTTATTTACCTTCATTTTTGACAGTTGGTTTTTTTTTTTTTTTTTTTGCTGGCTATAAAATTTCTGAATTGACAGGGTTTTCTATCAGTTTTTTACAAGCATCATTCTTTGTCTTCTGGTGTCTATTGTTTCAGATAAGAATTAGCTGATTTTCATATCATTCCTCTGTATCTATATGTTTGCTTTTGTCTGGATGTTTTTGAGATTTTTTTCCTTATTTTTGATTTTCAGCAGTTTAATATCCAGTAGTATTTTGATTTTATTCATCATGGCTGTAATTTTCTGAACTTTTTAGAATCTATGGGAGTTTATGTTTTTATTAAACTTTGCAAAAATTTGTCTGTTATATTTATATACAGTGGTTGTTTATGGTGAAATGGAGAGTCTGGTACCACTTGCTCCATCATGGTTAGATGTGGAAGTTGCCAAGGTCTTTCTCTCTTTCATCTTTTTTTAAAAAGATTTATTTATTCAAGGCCTCCCCTGGTGGAGCAGGCAGTTGAGCGCAGTGCTGTGAAGCTGTCCGCTACCTCTGCAGTGCTGGTTTGATCCCGGCCAGCCGGTGAGGGTCCCACATGGCAGGGCAGACCTCTCCTGTCGTGCCTGCTGCTCCTCTCAGCTGTGTATTTCAGTCAGTCAGTCTGCCTGTTCTGTTCCCCACTCTGTCTCTGGTGAATCCTCTCACCCTCCTACGCATCTGGCCTATACCCCAGTTCTTGTATGCATTAAGATTTATTTATTCATGCATATAAGAACCAGGGTGCAGGCCAGATGTGTAGAAGGGTAAGAGGATTCACCAGAGACAGAGTGGGGAACAGAACAGACAGACTGAAGTACACTGCTGAGGGGAGCAGCAGGCGAGACAGGAGAGGTCTGCCATGCCATGTGGGTATCTTGCCGGCTGGCAGGGATCAAACGTGCACTGCAGAGGCTGTGGACAGCTTCACAGCGCTGCACTCAACCACCTGAGCCACCAGGGGAGGCCCAATCTTTCATCTTTCTTCCTTACTTTTTTTTAAACATTTACACATTAATAATATACACACATCATCACACGTAAGTCATACTTTACAAAATCTTCTGTAATCTTTAAAAACAAAGAACTTTTAAAGAAAGTTAAAAAAAAGTTTAAAAATTCAATATAGAAATCAGAGAAACTGCATGCTAAAAACTGCATGGAATTTAAAATGTGGAACTGGAATTTAAAATGTGTTTGGCAAACCCTAGATAAGAAATAGATGTGTGGTTGTGGTATAAGAAGAAGAAATAAATTTGGTTCCTGGTACAGAGATCTTAAAACCCTTAGGAGTTCCAAAGTGTCTTTTGTTATGGTCAAGGAGCCCATTTTGAGCCCACCTGAGTTTTGGTAGTGAATAACTATATAGAATCTTAGTTGGCCTCGTGATGGGGCTGGTCACCAGAAAGACTGACTAATTAGAGGGTTGAATTTTCAGCCCCACATACTGACTTCTGGAAAGGGGAGAAGAATAGGCTGCAGCTTAAGCTCCGTAAAAACTCATGAACAAGGAGATTTGATGAGTTTCTTGATTGAGAAACCCTTCCACATGCCTGGAGGGTGGTGCACCCACTTTCACAGGAACAAAAGCTCCTGTGCTTAGAACACTTCCAGACCTCACCATGTGTACCTTCTCATTTGGCTGCTCATCTGAATCCTTTTCTAGTTTATTATGAGTAACATTATAAACATAAGAAATCATTTCTCTGAGTTCTGTGAGCTTCTCTAGCCAATCAGTCAAACCCAAGGAGGTGGTCCTAGGAACCTCCCATTTACAGACTGTCCCTTAGAAGCACAGGTGACAACTTGGACTTGAGATTGATGTCTGAAGTGGGGGCAGTTGGGGGTGCTGAGCCCTTTACTTGAGGGACCCGACACTGTCTCCAGCTAGTGTCAGAATTGAGTTCATTTCTTGATTGTGTTGGGAAACATACATAGGAGTGGTGTTAAAAAAAAAAAAAAAGCCAGCCATTGGACATAATAAAAGAAACAGTTTAAAATACATGATTGTGTCCCATCTATACATATAACTTCACTTCTTAAATCCCCCTTATTTTTTTCAAGCTTAGAAATGATTGGACTTCCCTATAGTGTACCTATAATCTTTATACTAATAACAACAGTGGGTGCTGCTTAAAATATGACCCCCCAAAAACCTGAAAGTTTCAATTAAGCCAGAAAACAAAGACAGCAGTCCAAAGAAAAACAACACGAAGTGTTCAGTTTTCCCACACAGGTAACTGTATTATATACAGAGGGACAAGTGTCTGCTACTTTTATTCAAAGTTGCCTTTCCTACAGAAACTATTTCTCTCTATTTTAATTATCTTTAACGAGGCAGGTATTTGTCACATCTGGACTTTCTGCAGTAGGCTGGAGAGAGCTTTTAGTCTTCAAATCCGGTTGGAAAATGAGTGTAAAATTTTGTTTGGGTAGCTAAGGGCTCATGGAGACTGGTAGAATCCTACAACTCCTCGCCATATACAAGATACAAAAGAGGCAGGCTGATGTAACTCAAAGGAGATTCTCTTTTCCATAGCTCACTACCTCTGTCCTTCCTTGTCTCACATCTTCAAAAATCAGTATATTTGGTTATTTTGCTCTTTGTTTACATCACTCTCTCTGCTCTGTCCCAATTTCCCTCTGGTAAATTCCCATCTCTTTCCCCACCCAGCGCAAGGATCACTTTGTGTTCAAAGCCTTTCTCCACAATCTCCCTCCAGGTAGTGTTAACTTTATTCTGATAGAACCTTAGAGAGGATTTAATCACTGCAGTAGAATCACACTGGGGACTTAGGCATTTGCAAGTAGAAAGAGGTAGCATCCAGCAATGTTGATGTTGGTGATTTTCTTCTCCTGCTTTTCCACATTCATATCTCCTCTGGATCATGTGGGAGTAGAACTAAAATAATATGAAGAATAAAATGGAAGAGAGTATTTTCAGGGTTTTGTTTGACTTCCAAAACATTCTTCGTAGAATCAAAGCAGAAGGCCCGAGGAGGTGTAGTGGAAATGAAGACACCA